CCCGGAGGGGTGTGTGTGTGAATGAAATTAAATTTAACATTTCAGGCTTGATAAAAACAATTTTTTTTAAAAGAAAAATCTAATAATTTGAAGCCAAACAAACATGTGTAACAAAAACGTTTTGGCAGTATGAATCCCTGTGCAGAACCACCTTTGCTTTTCCCCGTTTGACACAGATTCACTTGCACTGCAGAATTTCCTGCCTCGCATAGAGTGACTTCAACAGCACATTTCACATTCCTGGAAATTACCTCTGTCCTTCCTTATCTAATCTGACTCCCTGCTTCCTGCCTTGTACTAAATTTCCCTTGCACACGAGAGATCTAATTAGGAGAAGTTCTCAGTGCTTCCTTGGTGTTTCCTAGAAGCGATTAAGGCAGTTCTGTTTCACATTTGATAACTTGTGGCAACAACAGAACAGGTTTGTTTTGTCAAACCCTGTGAGAGGGTCTGTGAACTCTTTAGTTTACGTTTGTTAGTTGTTTATTTTTACCTGTCTTGTTCTTTCTTGATAAACAATATATCTTAGCCTCTGTAATAGTGCTGTTATTAGATGAATACAACACTAAAAGGGACAAACTCTCCATGTGTCAACATGCTGAATATATGTAAATAGTGTCGTTTGCAAAATGTGCAGAAAACCATGAATTCTGCAAAGGGCAGAATATTTTTCTTGACCTTAGGACGTTTTCTCAACTGCTGCCTCAAATGCAAAGTTCATATTTTGTAATTATTATAATGTCTACATTTCCATTCTGTATTTAATATAATTTTTTCTTTTAATATTAGAACTTATGACTGCCAAATAACTTAGAGCTGACTTAGAGCGTAATCAATTGATTGCCTTCTACTGAAGTCAGGTGACAATAGGTGATGTTTGGGATTGATCTGCATGTTCCAGAGGACACAGAGGGAAACTATTGTATGGGGAAGAACATTTGAACCTGAGACCTTCTTTACACAAAGGGTTGTAGGAGTCTGGAACGCATTGCCCAACCAGGCCGTCAAAGCTGATACATTGTATAGTTCAAGAAAGGGTCAGATGAGATTCTCAGATCGCTTAGTTTAACTAAACAAGCAAGACAGGCCAAAGAGTCTCCTGTCCTTTGTCATATCTGTTCTTGAATTCCACAGTTTTCAAGAGGATTGAGGAGCGGGGATTTTTCTGGGTCATGAAAATTTGTCTCTCATTCCTTTAGCTGGTTACTGAACCCATTGCCTGATTCCAAGCAACTCAATTCTTTTTACAGGGATGTACTTATTATTTGGAATACCGAATGTACTGAATGACATGCTCTGCACAGATGCAGATTACAAGTCAGTATTTCATCATGGAAATGAAGAGTTGCTGGGAATTCTACAGACAGTTAGGGCACTTTAAAATTGGTGATTGTGAAAGATTGCTCATGTCACTTTCTTTCCTGAAGGTGGACATGAGTAAAATGTCAGCTTACTAATTCAGACAGCTGTTTCAGTGGCTTCTGTGTCTTGCTCGTTCCTTTTTTTATTTAAAGGAGGAGGGACAGTTCTTGAACATTAAACATGAAAATGAAACAGAAAACCCCAGCAATTAAACTACATATAAAAATATATATCTAAGGATTTCAGGCTTTTTATATCTAATTATTGTTTAGGTTGTGTAACAGATTGCATACTACAAAGAACCACATAAAATGAGAACTGATTAATAGGTTTTAATTTTACATCTGTCTGAGTGTGTTTTTTTCAGATGATGTGGGCTGCCAGTGTGTATGAAATAGATGGCTCTGTGCGCTGAAAGCCAACATCAATATTGAAAACAGAAGGGGTGTCACATTCTCTTCTGAAAGCCTGTGTGTGCCTCTGCTGAGTGGGTAGGGCTGAACGCTATAGCACGTCTCCCATGTGTACAATATTGTAAAGAATTTGGAGTTCAAGGCCAGAATAAACAGTGTGATCAATGGTCACTCCACCTAACCACTGGCCACAGGAGGTGGAAAAAGTACACCGGCAGGTTCAGACAGGATGTAGGCATGGAATGTGAGGTTACAGGGATGTGCTAAATATTTTTTAATGGAGGAAATGAACTTTGTTTTTTTCTGTTCTTAATAAAACTTTGCAACAAATACAGTTCTGGCGGCAAATAAGATGTACTGTACACATCTAAACTATAATTCACTGATTATGTATTATTTACAGATTACAATTTAAACAGCAGGGTCCTAAATCAGAATAGTCTGGGTTTAAGGGAAACAAACTTCTTTAGTTGATGCTAAAAACTATTTTTAAAACAGAAAATGAGATTGAAAAAAATGTGCAATTTGAAACTTTTTTTCCTGTGTCTCCTGGTTTCTTTGCTTCCTGCTGCACTGTCCTGAAGTAGCACCCATGTTTCCCTCTAAAATACTGTAGGTGGTGAGGCTAGAGGTTGTTTCTGCTTGAGGGCTCTGCCCTTTTTCCCCAGATAGGGGATCGTTGTGTTTAGACAGCACCTCTTTTGAGCTGCCTTCTAGGTCTGGTTTGTCAAGTAGGTGTTGGCAAGTAGCTGAGTAATCAACACTGACGCATTTACAAGAAACATATTCTGATTTTTATGGGGAGCGTTGAGGATAATCTCTTCCTAATCCAGAAATCTTCTTTAGTTAGCTGGGACCAATTGGATTACTGGATCATGCTGCTCCAAGGCAGAGTTCCCAATAACCTGTTACTGTGCCTACTTCTTAAGCAACACAGGGCTGACATTAGACTCTGTCCTGCCTTGTTTCAGTCACCTGGGGCAGAGTGGTAGTTCTGTGGCTAAGGATCTGCACCTGTGGCTGGAAGGTTGCCGTTTCAAATCCCGCAGCCGGCAGAGGAATCCTACTCTGTTGGGCTACTGAGCAAAGCCCTTAACCCCAAGTGCTCCAGGGGCGCTGTACAATGGCTGACCCTGCACTCTGACCCCAAGCTTCTCCCCCTGTCTGTGTGCCTTTGTGTCTCATGCAGAGCAAGTTGGGGTATGTGAAAAGACAAATTCCTAATACAAGAAATTGTATATGGCTAATAAAGTGACCTTATCTTATCTTACTTCTGAGAGTTTGGGCTATAAAATACACCTGCACATACCACATGTTGGCAAATGAAAAAACAAAAAAGGGTCTTCTCATTGTCACTTTGGGTCTTATACAGTAGCTGAGGTTCTCAGCCTGTGGCCTGGGGACCCTTACAAAAATCACTCTTAATAATAGCCTCTGATCAAAAAGAATATAAACTTGAATCTAAATGAATAAATAGCTCAAAACAGTGCAAACCATTTATATTATTAGATTTAGAATTTATAAGTTATTATAATTAGATTAGATTTATAATTTATCGCTGTACCATGAATCATAGGTTACTGGGGGGACATTAACTCGTGATTGACGTGCACCGATATATTGTTACCAGACGCCTTACCCCACTTGGTATTCCAGTGCACTTGTGATTAGCCCTGTTGACTAACTCCAGGGAAAACTCTTAAGGGATGAGCACGTTGTGATGTCATGCTCAGATGACCTTTGCACAGTGAACCCTATTGTGCATTAGTGATTAAAGCAGTGGTAATTTGCTGGTGAGAAAGTGCTGACTGCCTACTGCACTCCAGACACACAGACCTCACATGGCCCCTCTTTGGGCTTAACATTAGGATGGGTGAGTGGGGGTGAGCATCACAGCTGTCTGTCTGCAGGGCTGGTCAAGGAGGAGGGCAGTATGATCTCCACTGCCTCCATGCACCCCTCTTCTCACATGTCCTTCCAAACCTTCTCTCACTCACAGGCTCCCATTAGGTTGTGTGTTGATGAACATTGTCCCAACATGTTGACAGTCTGGGATGCTCTTTAGGCTGCCATTACATTTGTTCCTGCATGGTTCTGCATGTTGACAAGGGCACAGCGCCCCCTGCTGACTTTAAATTGTATGGCATCCAGCTTCTGCCACAGTAGCCTTTAGGCGCTGAAGTTCTGTCATCAATGTTAAAATGCTGATGTAAGGAGGCATGTTTTTTCTAGAATACTGCAGAGGTTGCTTTTTATCGAATGCATTTTTTTTACAGCATCTGTTTGAACAAAAGGTTTATGATAATTGAAAAGAATAACAGCATAAACGTGCGTATAACCAGTATAACCAGTATAAATGTTTTTATCATTGCAGCTGTTGTGAGAAAGAATAGCCTGGTACAGTTAATGGCATCAGCTTGCCATCTAAGCTGGTGATTGATCATGGTGGTGTTGCTTTTTTCCCAAGCTTGTGCTGTGAATTTAATTGACTTTGTTATAGTTCTTCACCCTCTGTATCTGTAACAGCTGCAAGCCCTTGTCAGAGGCTGTTTTATTTGAATCCTAGTGAGTGGACAGAGACTGAACATGCAGCACTCAGTCTTGGCTTTGTCAATCCTGCCCTCTTCTGGTGATGTGCTGTGCCAGCTGGTGTTTTTTCCATGCTTAACTCAAGTGGGCCGATGAAATCTAATAGAAAGTGTCTTAATATCGCAAATTAAAGTGCATTTTAAATGTGAGATGTTGACTGGAACTAAAGGAAAACACCTGCTTCTTTTATTGTCGAGTTCTTATATCGGGAGTCTCCAGCCCTGGTCCCAGAGAGTCCCAATCTGGTTATGGTTATTGGTTTCCTGTTTTTAAAGACTGGCAACTCCTGTAAGCTACTGAGTAATATGTTCAATTAGGAGAACTCTGGCTCTTGGGATGAAGAGTATTTCGATTTTATTTCTAAATCATCTCTAAATTACAAAATGTTTACAAATCATCTGTTTCAATGATTGCAATGGAACTGTTTCATCTTTTTAGAAATTGCTTTATTTAATGGTGATTTACAAGCCTGCTCGGTTGGAGCTCACTGGGATCAGGATTGAAGACCCCCGTACAAACCGGACTCGGTCTCTCCAGGATGGGGGCTGGAGCCCTCCTGTCCTGTGAAGTCCGAGTTGACCGTGGGGCCTCATCACTGAGCTGTGGCCTGTGCTGTGTTTCCCTCCGCCTGTGCAGAACCGGCAGCTCCTGAAGGACCGGTTCATGGTGGAGCTGGTGGAAGGGGCTCGCAAGCTACGTCACGTCTTCCTCTTCACCGACCTGCTGCTCTGCGCCAAGCTGAAGAAGCAGATCGGGGGGTGAGCCTGCTCTCTCTCCACCTCTCCCTCTCCTCGCCTGGTCACACCATGGGTCAATTAATCAATTTCCCATCACAGGGGCCTTGGGGTATTTCAAACTGTTTGTTACCTTGCAAAGAGCCCTTCTCCTTAATTGATTCATTAACTCCTGGGAGGATGAATATGTGGGAAAATTAATCCATTCCTTTCTCTCAGGAGCTGCAGTGTACTTCTGACTTCGTGAAAGCAAACGTGAGACGTTTAAATGAGGAATTTGGTTTCGAGAAAGGAGATTTGTCCTCCACTCCCAGGCTTGGGATTTTATTTTGCACATAGGACAGGGAGGGAAAACAAATGTTCTTGTTGATCTCCACATGTCTTCATGTTCCAAGTCTTCTGACTCACCTTTTCTGTAGGAGACAAAACTGTGTGCAAGTCTTAAATGTAAGTTACCATGCTAAAGTAGTCATGTTGTGTGGAGACCCTGCTGTTGTCTGAACGCATCTAATTTATCCCACTCAAAAGAAAACGTGCTTCTTGATTTTTATAGAACACTATAGTATATCATGAATTCCATAATGGGAATTATTTTGTTTTGTTTTCCACCCCCCCTCCTTACACCAACATACCTCTTTTAAGACATTAATGAGCATCTCTTGAAAGACGCGATGGTTTTGGATAACACAGGAATGACCAAATCTAAGTGTAATAATAGTTACTGGCTAGCGTATCTGTTAAGAAATGCTGGCGTGTTGACATGAGCTATTTTTACCGTGTCAGCTGAATAACAAATTTATAATAGAGTATTGATCTGTGGGCATTTCCATCAAGCATAATGAAATTGCTGAATATGAAGTTATATTAGGAACGACCTGTTCTAATTTGGATTCATTGACCTCTATAGATTGAGAATCTGTCTGACAAGAGTCCATTGAGCTGCTGTGATGTTGCGTAGTCCATGTATATTTCAGTGGCATGCGTCTAAGTCAGGGGTCTCCCAACTCTGGTCCTGGAGATCCCCAATCCAGTATTTCATATACTGTACAGGTCACCCTAAATCGCCTGTTAAACATTCAGGACACTTGTTCAAGCAGTTGATCAATTAAGTAAACAAAGTTGCGACGATGGAAACATTGGTTTTTGATGGCTGGAGGATAATGGAGGATTATTTGATCATAGTTAAATTGTCCCAGATCTTTAGAAATTGGTGATTTAAAGGCTATCTATCAACGCTGCTGGACTGGGGCTCTTCAGAAGCATGGTCCAAATCATCCTGTAGTTCATTTTGCAACTGTTTCTCCTTGTTTAATTCAGTGATGCAGTTAGCCAAAGGATTTAATGAAAAAATGCAGACTTCAGTGTTTACCTGAGGCAGTGATGATGAGCAACAATTGATGTGTATGAGCCCATGTTTTAATGCTTGTCATCAAAGATCAGTATATTAAAAATTCAGAAGGATGCCAAAACAAGTAAAATTAACCCTGTCTGTGACTAATTTCGCTTATTGGTTTTATGAAAAAAAATACTCTTTGGAGATGCGTCTTAAATCAGAGAACTACATTTGAAGGAATCGATGTACCTTCATGAATCTGGGTAATAGCACTGCCAGATAGGTGGAAATAAGTGATTCTTAAAATCCTTTTCATTTATTAAAACAATTAAGTTGTGTTTCCCAATTAAGGAACAACTTAAGTGTTCCTTTGGTTTAACGCTATTGTGTAAACACGCCTAAAAACGTCTCCAGTAATGCCGGGCTTTTCCATTTCGGCACTTGTCCTCCAGGAAGAGCCAGCAGTATGACTGCAAGTGGTACATCCCCTTGGCTGACCTGACCTTCCAGACCATAGATGAGTCCGATTCCTCGCCCATCCCCCAGCTCCCGGACGAGGAGATCGATGCCATGAAGATCAAGATCTCCCAGATCAAGAACGAAATCCAGCGGGAAAAGGTACTTATAAGTTCCTGAACATTTCACCACGAGCAGACACCTGACTCCTGCGAGCTGGCAAAGTTAACGGCGGCTATTCAGAGGCTACAGACTTGGCAGAATTTACTGGAAATTGAAAAACCTCGTTAGTCCTGGAAAGAGTGGTAAATTAGACTAGTGAATCAATAATTAATTCAATTTTGTCATTACTATCTGAACTGAGGTGACAATCAAAGAGATTCTGGTCTTCCAGGACTTGGAATAAGTATCTATTTTGCATGTCCTCATGTCTTACTACAAACTATTAGTATAGTTTAACAGGATTTACCATATAATAGGTTATTGTGTGGAGTTTCCCCTCTTTTGTTGGAATATTTCTAAAGCAATAGGAAAGTTTATATTATAATATAGTCATATTATAAGGCTACTGTATTCTCTAAGACAAAACATTCTAATCCTGAGAGGTCTTCTTTAAAAATGCCTACACACATCAGATAAAGAATCAGTCAAAACACAAATGAGAGTAGCCTGTGCCACCTATTGTCCTTGTGCTGGTAGGTATATGATTTCATCCCTGAAGGAAAAAATAAGTCGCCCTTTCCACAAAATCTGTAACCAGGCTCAATTCCCGCAAGAGAAAGATTGGGTTGCGATGCAAGGACCTCCAGCAGATAGCATTTACAGGATCAGTATATCAAAGCAATGTGAAAGACGCTGAGAACTGGTGCGCAGCTCACTGCATCCCGATTTGTTCTCTCATCCACAGAGGGCTAACAAAGGGATAAAGGTGATTGAGAGGTTGAAAAAGAAGCTCTCAGAACAGGAATCTCTGCTGCTGCTCATGTCACCCAACATGGCCTTCAGAGTACACAACAGGAACGGCAAGGTGAGTTTTTTTTGTTCAGACAGTCATCACACACACCTTCTTGTTCATCAGTCCTCTGTCAGACACAAGATGGACCTGGACAAAGCTGAGCAGCTCCGGTTAGCAGCCAATACTCCTGTTGGAAGTTCTAACAAGTATGTTTTTCATACCTTTTGACACGTTCAGTTCAAGCCCTGAACCAGCCCTCTCTTGTCTATAGTTACAAAGTTCTTACAGAATGTTTAAGTGGGCATCATTCCAGGTGGAATGGGCATCATTCCAGCCTCTGGAGCTCTGTGACGCATGGGAATACTGAAAAGTTAAATGAAATATCAATTCTCTCTTCCTCGTGGTGCATTTTGGCCTAGATGAATGGGGGATGGATTATAGTTTTATTGTTTTATATCAATTAAGAACCCCCCCTTACTACAAAAACTGTGTTTTATGTAATTAACAATAAAAAGACAATCAATGCATTTTTACGATTGAACAGTAGGAGCCGATCAGACATGTATCAGTCCAAGTGAGATCTGATTCTGACTTGAAGGGGCTTGTGAAAGTGAACGAGTCCCTTTTATTTTTCATTTTTAGAGCTACATGTTCTTGATCTCTTCTGACTATGAACGCGCAGAATGGAGAGAAATCATCCGGGAGCAACAAAAGAAATGTAGGTGTCTCTTATAAAGCTGTACTGTGGGAAAAAGTGTCATTTCTAGCAAGGATGTGGAGGCATTGTGGGAAAATTGGACAACACCCACTGTGAGGATGCAAGTTTTAATCCTTTTGGGTTCTGCAGCGTGATTATATGTAGGAAGGGTGAAGTACAGTAGCTCCTCAAACGCATTTTGTCTTTGCCAATGCCAAAGCAGGTTTCAAGAGTTTTTCCTTGACCTCGGTGGAGCTGCAGATGCTGACAAACTCGTGTGTGAAGTTGCAGACGGTACACAACGTCCCACTGACGATAAACAAAGAAGGTAGGAGCATCTCCCCCTGCGCTCTGGGAATCTTCAGCGGGCCCGTTTAAAAGCAACAGCCTTCAGGCTTTTGCTGAGTCAGGATGTTACATTTCATTGCCCTTAAGGAGAGACACTGAGACGTGACTGGGTCTCTGCAGTCGTCCATTATTGTCACAGTGGACAGAAACTCACAGATGGACACACACACAAACTACCGCACACAAAACTAGATGCCTTTCTGGATGTGTACAAGAGTGTCTGAAGTTTGTATCTTTTGCTTTGTTTGACAGAGCTCCCCATTAACTGCATACACTCACTGTGGCAGATGTCACAGTATATATGTTATTACCAAATCATAAATCATGCTTGTATGTGATTTGGTGTTGCTCTTCTCCTTCACCACCTGGTTGGAAGGTAAAAAAAAATTTTTTGTAGAAAAAAGAAAAGATTCACAAATTTAGATTTTTGACACAATGATTATAATAGTACTATAATAATAATATAATTGTTAATCTTTAAGATGATACAAGAAAGCAAAATGTAAAGTCCTTTATCACACACTTTAAAAGCTAATTATAAAGAATGTGGTTGGTGTCAACATCTGTTGTTCTTATGATACCAACTCTACATAATGCATTAGCTGTAGGTTTTTATTAGGAATTCTTCAAAGCGATGAGCATTCAGCCAGCAATTTGTTTATACTCCACTCTGAGATACCGTTGGCTTGTGTCTTGATTTGCTGTATAGCGGTACAGTCCTGATCTGCATTCAGAGTCTCTCTCTCTTTGGTTAGATGACGAATCTCCTGGACTCTATGGGTTTTTGAATGTAATCGTCCACTCCGCCTCAGGGCTCAAGCAGAGCTTAAGTAAGTAGCTTCCCCCTCTTGGCTCCTTTCAGACCACCATTCTGCATGATTAAGTTTTTAATGGGTTGTATTTGCTACAGTGGTTTAGAGACATATTTGTGAGAAAGGTTTCACCTTTCCTGTTTGTGATTCATTTTATCTTCCCGAATGGTAGAAATTCATTCACCTGAAGGTCTCACTCAGCTCTTGATGGATCCCAGGAGGTGTGTCACAGTAGCATGGCCTTGCTGGACCCAAGAAGCCCAAGGGATTTTGTGTACAGGAGAACCTCCTGTTTCTGAGCCAAACTGCGTTTTTAATTTCCACTTCCGCTTTTGGGTCCTTGGGTCCAAAACTGTATATCCCCATACCAAGTTAACAGGCACCTGTTGTAATATCATGTCATATAAAAAAATCGAATAATCTCCTGCTGTCAGCTAGTGCGTTATTCTACTGTCCTCCAGATCCCTGGTTCACACAGGAGCTCAGCAGGCCGACAGCTGCGATTTAACTGCTGGTTTGTGGAAACAGCTGTCTGCCCTGGGATTATAACGGCACACTTGCAATGTTCCAGTGTATGGCCTACAGCGTTGGGCAACGTGGGTTTCCACAGAACACACACACGTCTGGTGCGGTCTTGGAACCTCTCCACCATTTTAGTTTCTACGGTTAAGCCCACATTTAAGGAACCCAAAGCTTCAGGAGCTGGAAGACTATTGCAGCCTTTTTTTTTTTTTTCGACGCATAACTCATAACAGAGCACGTGTTATTATCTGTGAGTAAAGAAGCATTCGTTTTGCAATTCATTTGCCTGTCTGGTCCGCCTAATCCCACAAAGGGAACATTATTATAATGGTTTTTTTTACATTTTGCTTTAGAACACCACAAGTCTTTAACCAGCGGTTGGAAGGGCTACGCAGAGAATACACCAAACGTCAGCCCTTGTACAGTATGAGCTGTGTTGATAACCCTCAGCCTCTGTCCTGTTTGTTCCGTTACCCAGACCTCTACTGTACATTGGAAGTTGACTCCTTTGGCTATTTTGTGAATAAAGCGAAGACGCGAGTATACAGGGATACAACAGAACCTAACTGGAACGAGGTGAGCAATAACAGGCCTGAGGAGCAGAAATCGGCTCTGCTGCACAGAGAATTGTGAAATGATTTCAGAATGGTTACACCTCTTCTTGCGTTTGCATATGCTTGCAGTCACTATGCTGTGATTTCCCACAGTCATTGCAGTTACTTATTATTTGCATATTTCTACCTGAAACTGTACCTTTATTTCCTTGTACCCGGCCTAACATTCTCTGTCTGTGTTACAGTACATTAGAGGTGTTTTGCTGTGAGTTTCCTGACATTCTGGTTCTTCTCGTGTTTCCCTTTAGGAATTTGAGATTGAGCTGGAGGGATCCCAGACGTTGAGGTTACTCTGTTATGAGAAGTGTTACAACAAAACCAAGCTCAACAAAGAAGATGGTGAAAACACAGACCGAATCATGGGCAAAGGCCAAATTCAGGTAAGGACGAACAGAAACAAGCCTGAAGATGAAGTGGCTTCTTTCAGTCAAATCTCAGTCACACAAGCAACTGAACCAAGGAAACATAAGAGGCTTCAGGCAAAACACGTTCACAGTGTGCTTTAGCAGGAAGTGGTTCTGTGGTATGAGGTACTGTATGGTATGAGTCAGATTTAAATCATAAAACAACCCACATCATGTCTTAGGCTAGGGAGAACAATCCCTGATCTGAACCTTCTTATATCATCTCTTAGAGCAGCAGAGATAAAGGAGAGATTCATGTTCAGATCTCAGAACAAAGCTCTTCTACAATGACTCAGTTTTTATCTCTGAATGGTCTTTTTTTAGGGGTGTTGTTAATTACTATCTTGGTGAAAACAAATGGTCGTTTAGTTGAATCATTTAGACTGGTCAGCATCTATTGAAACCAGTGCTGAACCCAGGCACAGAGGCTGGAGATTTGCTGTCTGTTCATGTGTGCTTATGCGAGCAATACGATATGAGGTAGTTCCCTTCTTTTTTCAGGACCAGACATAATATAATGTTCTCCCCAGACAAGGTGTCGCTCGTTCAGTTCTTGTGTAGAACTGAAGTGACAGCAGGTTCCTTTATTCAATAACGGCTGCAGATTTATGGACAAGCAGGTTGGAGATGAGTGCTGAGGAGGCCTTTGATCAGCGGTCCGCACAGGAACCGGAATTGTCCCTTTTTCTGTAGCATTTATTTTGTACTGCAGCCCGAGGGGGGAAAGGAACGTGACATGTAGGATGGGCTCGTGTAACAGTGATTCTCATCGCCTTTGAAGCCCGAGTGTGCCGGTACTAGACTTGTCAGCTTCAGTCCCTTGGGAGTTTTTTAACTATACAAAGTCCTAGTCAGGCCGTCTGCCAGCATCTTCCTCACAACAGAGCTCTTTTTACTCACTCGGAGGGATGTGCGGATACACATTCCTTATACCTGAAGGCAGTTCATTTAATATTATATATATTATATTATATTACAGTAATATAATGTATCTAGTATGTGTTATGAAAGGGGGCAGTCTTAACCCAATTTTTTATGAGCCAGTCATCATGATATCAAGCAACAGGATGATATCAGGAAGATTTATTGTTAACAAAATTCTGTTACATCATATTATGCTGCTCTACAATGATTTTGTTACTGCATTTCATAATTATAAATGATATATAATAAAACAATGTTATATGGTTTTATAATTCTGGTCCTAACAGTCCATCCAACTGATGCAAAAGAAGTGCTTTGAGGGGTGAAGTCTCTCTTCTGGTAATTCATTTCATGCCGTGTGGAAAACAAAAATGAAGAACCCTTCTCTGGCACGTCTCTGTGGCACTTTAGCAGGCATTTGTCATGGGGATTATAAAGTCTGAGGGATTATGGGGTACAGTCATAGCACAAGTAAAACAGCAATTGAAAGGAGTCCAGCCTATGAATGAGAGACCCTGACTTGGTTGGTCACTGTTGTGTAGCACGTGGTCTTGGCCCAGATGTCAGTGCTGTCCAGTGTGGGTATTAACAGGCCTCAGAGCTTGTTGCTATAGTGATTCCTGGATCTGTCGCCTGTTTGCCAGCACTCTTAAGCTTTAGAGTAGTAACTGCAGATGATTAAAGTTTTTAAATATGAATGAGGGATGAGATTTTTTAAAACGCCACATGTGTGTGCCTGTTTTTGCTGTGGCCTTTCTTCTGTTTTGTATTGTTGTGCTCTGTTCATAACTAAAGAACACAACATTATAGCTATCATAGCATTAAATCAACATTTCAATGAATGGTATCAGAAAGACTGTATTAGAGTAGAATTTGAGCTGTAACCAAACTAATCCTGATGCTGTTAGAATCATTATTAAATAAAAGGCTTAATCAATATTCAGCAGCTGGGATTTGTGGTGTGTTCTCCAAACTGTTTGGAGAGTACAGTTCTTTTAGAGTTGTAGTGATTTATTGAGTGAAGAGAGAGTTAAGGTATGTTCTTTGCATGTACTTAACTGTTTTATATTAACTGTATTTCTCCAAATGAGAGAAGAAAAACATTTGTTTTTCGATATATTTGGTTGGAACCCTGCATCGCTTTGAATTCAAAGAACAAATATCAGATCATTACATTTCTTAATACTTCCCAGTTTCCATTCAAAAACACCATTATGAGCAACATGAAGTGTGGTAGAGTTAAATTAAATAACCTTGTCTGAAACCAAGCAGAACTAAATAATTCATGTCACATTTATATGAACACATAATACATTAAGGAACGTTAATAAATATTAATTTCTGAATAAAAGAACTGTTGCATGTGAACTATGTTAAATATTTAAGTATTTATGTTGTTTCATAACTACCTTTGACTGAAATCTCTGAATTATTAATCTTAAGAACATGTATGTAAATGTTCTACTTCGTTTGTCCTGATGTCCTTTGTAATGCATTGCAGGAACATTGATCATTTGGTTTAGCGGCTCAGACCAGGTTGTGAAACCTGACTGCTGCCACCACAGCTCTCTGAGCCTTGTTGAAGGGATTACTGTGGTGTTAATCATCCCAGGGAAACAGCACTGCTCTGGTCAGTGTGCTCGGTAGTGTGGAGCTCGTGATGAGAGGAGTATCGCCGCTCTGGGCTCATGCGGGCAGGCTGGGATTAGGAGAGAGGGAGAGGAGCTAGCCGAGACAGCAAGCAAGGACTGTTGCTTTTCCGTTGGGAAGACTCCAGCGTCTGGGGAAGAAGAGGAAGTCCCTGAATCGTCGCTGCGGCTGGGTTTCTCTTGATTGTGCCTCCCAGCAGCTGCTCGCGCTCAGGGAGCTGGAAGATTCCTGGGATTTAAAGTGGACGGGCGTTAATCCGTGGCTCCCATCTGGATCCTGGGACAAAAGGCTGTGTCCGTGTCTGCTCAGGCCGGCTCTCGGGGATGACGCTCGCAGGCGGGCGTGTGGTGTTTCGCTGCCCAAGCTGGAGACCCCTGTGTCTCTACGGTGTGAGCGAGGGGAGAACAGCTTGCATACAAGACCAGTGAAAAGAGGGAAGCTAGTGGGTCCGTCCACTCCTCCTCAGCTGCTTGTCCATCAGGGAAGAAAGGCTTCAGTGTTGGAATAAAAAAAAAATTACAGGAGAGCGATCTTGGTTGGGAGAGAGCCACTCCTTTGTTGTTGTGATTCTTTTTGCTGGGCTTTGCTGCGGGTATAAAGAATCGCGCCCAAAGAGGATGACAGGAGTGCGGCTAACTGACAGCTCCCTAGAGGAGACCTGTTCTCGGTTCCGCGGCAGCTGTACAGTGGAGGGCGAGGAGGCCGGCGCGGTGAAGACACAGCCCCACGCAGGGGCCAGGCTGTGGGGTCGTGTGCGCAGTAGACTGCTCAGACAGAAGGTAAATCGGTGTGTGTCTTTACCGGTCCTGCTCTCAGAGGGCCTCTGTGGGATGAGTATAGTGGAGTGCGGCAAAGAATTACACATGAATTGTTTAACTGCAAAGCGGATCAGTAGTGTAGATGATAAAACTCTTCATAGTGTGTAAATCACACTGCTGTCTGTGTGTAGACTTTACAAGTACTGTATTTCCCACTTGGCTGTGTTTTGGTATAAATGTTGTGGGGAAAAAGCATTATTCTGCAGGAAATACTACACTGCAGCAGCAGTGTTGAGTGATTTCCATAATGCTGAGTAGTGAAAGCAAAGTGGCTAAAGGTTGACAACTGATATGATTATATTTGTCGGATGTGAACAGCGGTGGCACTGTGGTGGTGTGTGGTTCCCTGGCTTCATTTCCAGACCTGGGGTGCTGTCTGCGTGGAGTTTGTCAGTATGTTCTCTCCATGTTTGCGCGGGTTTCCTCTGGGTGCTCCAGGTTCCTCCCACAGTCCAAACGCCTGCTGGTACGTTAATAAGTGTGTGCTTGTTTGTGACCGTGTGCCCTGCAGTGGACTGGCTTCCCATCCTGGGTGTGACCTGCCTTGTGCCCGTTGCTTGCTGAGATTGGCTCTGGCTGCCCCACAGCCCTGAGTGAGATGAAAAGGGTGGATGGGAGGTGGATGAATGAATGGGGACACAAATGCCTCAGGGGTTCACTTCAGGCCTCTCTTTTCACCTAATTCATGACTTCATATTACAGAATAGATGGCTGAGCTTTTGCATCATCCATCCATTGTCAGAGTGCTGCTTGTGTCATGGTAATAAGAAGCAATACTGCCAGTATTATCCTGACAGCATCAGACCTTGTTGTCTTTGTGTTAGGATAAAACAGGCTGGCAAGGATGAACTAAGTGCATAACATCATTCTTTAAATCAAGTGGCAGATCACTGAATTATAGTCTTAATGTAAAAAGACTGTAAGGCAATCAGTGCTGCGTTTTCCTTTGAAATATCCCAGTGCTGAACGTTCTAACAAGGTTGTACATACTAAAAGATTTCCGAGATACTGTTTTTGTCAGCTGCAGCAAACAACTGCAAGTCTAGTGGTTAAATGCTTGAGCAAATATTTGAATTCTGTTTCACGGGACTTACAGTATGACAAGTATGATTATACAGATAACCTGTATGTGGAAGGTTTTCTAGTTTTCTTTGGGATTTGTGTTTTACAAAGGTAAGAAATGCAGATTTTTTGTTGTACGAGGGGCAAAACTATTATTTTTTTATTCCTCGTGAATTCTGGTTCATCAGGATTCTTTTTTATTTCCTAGTGAGAAACACATTTAATTGCAATTTGAGCGGATGTAATTGAGGCCTGGGCTCCCCCAGCCCTTGCTGAAGGGATTCTGGGTTAATCTGGGCAGCTAACTGGGGCAGAGGGATCAGTAGCCTAAGCTCATTGCTACTCTACATCCAGCCCATTCATCTGCACTTCGCAGTGCCAGAGAGTGGCAGGTTGAAAAGGGATGGTGGAGACTGCACCAGGAGAAGAGCTTTCTCCTGACTCGGGATTGAATATCTTTGCTGGTCATTGTGTAACAGCAGGGTTTCAAGCCCTGGAGGTTTGCTGTTAAGCTCTCATTGTTTTTTGTACTGTATTTCTTTATATTCCTTAACTTGTATACACCTCCTCTTGACGGACTAATATTAAAAGCACACAAAACTGAAAGTGATTCTTCATACAGACAGGTGGAACCAAACTAAATTGCATATCATCTCAATTATTTGTTTAGAATGTAGACCAATTCCGATTAAATCCCCAGTTCCAGTGATCAAAAACAATCATCGTTTACTGAATGTGGTCAGACCCCAGATTCCAATGTACTTCTGAGCACCTAATCTGCACAGACAATGTGAACATGACCATCAGACCTACCTAACCTTGTACCACATGTGGAGCCTTCTTCGGGTGTCGTACGTTGTGTTGTGTTTCTTCTCTTCTCAGCAGGGAATAAACCTTAACTTGGTCCTTTGCAGACTACGCATGCTGACGCAGCTCCCTACTTGAACTACTTAATATGCTCCAAAGGAGACTTACTGTCTTGCAGTACTAAAGCCAGTTTCCTCTAATTGGTCTGTACCACCGGGGTCGCGTTTCATTCTCTCATCTATTTGCCAGTTCTATTTCATTGCAGCGGTCAATAAAAAGGGCAGATTTCTACTGTATTTACAAAGCTCCTCCTGTTTTTCCCCTGTTTCAAAAAGCAAATATTGACATGGAGTCCTACATTATTAATAAGATAAATGATGCTGTAAAGCAGAAAGGCTTTATGGTGATTTTTTAATAGTTTTTACTGCTGCCTGTGTCAAATTTCATGGAGAGTTTCTGAAAGAGCTTGGTTTTCAGTTGTTCTCTGTGACTGACTCTCCCTTCCTCTTTTATTCAGCTGGATCCTCAGAGCCTGCAGGGGAAAGACTGGCAGAGAACAGTGATATCTATGAATGGGGTGAGTCACCTGAGCAGACCTGACATTTCCTGTGCTCACCAGGTGAAAGCCCGTATATGGAAGGCAGTACAAGACATCACTGTAACAAGCCAAGTAACAGCCTGTGATTTTGGAAACTGTGAGATATTTAAAGAAAAAGAACTTGGAAAGTTACAATTCAGATTTTTTTTTAAAATGAAGAGGTGGTCATTTTCAGGAACTAACAAGTTGAAATCAGTGATTTGTTTGAATTATTTCTAACTATACAAACAACCATATTTTGTTTAGATTGAAGTTAAACTGTCCATGAAGTTCACCAGTCGGGAATTTAGCTTGAAGAGAATGCCCTCGCGGAAGCAGACGGGTGTCTTTGGGGTTAAAATCGCCGTAGTGACCAAGTAAGTAAAACCCAAAAGAAACTTCAGACACCAGAATCAAAAAAAGCTCATTGTGGAGGCTCAGGTGCCAAAGTACCACGTTTGATGTGTTACCTCTATATAGGAACTTAGTAACTGGCCACAATTGGTTGGTTATAAAGTAACCTTATACCCAAATGGAAGTTGGCCAATATTGTCCCAGACCTCAGTAGAAAACAAAGATGCGTGCTAATACATTCACCAGCATTTACAACCATGGGTTCTTTAATTGAAATTAAAAAGCTTAATTCTTGAGGCTGGTCAGTCACTGAACTCATATCAGTGGTACATACATTTCTCAAGCCACACTGGTGTGTGTGGCAGGTTTTCTGAGCTTCTCATCCTGTTATCCTATTAGTATCCCAGTGTCACTCACCACACACTGAGAGTTAGTTGGGGGTTAATGACAGAAGAAATACTAAATTCCCACTTTTTTAAGCTGTTTTGTACTTTGACATGTTTTTCAGTAACCAGTTAATGGCCAATAAGAAAGTAAAGGCACACTATAAATATTAATCACAGAATCGCTAAATGTGTAGTATCCTCACCACTATGCCTTAATCATGTCTATTTCTCTTTTCTGTTGAAGAATATTTTTTATTGAGATCTTACACAATGGCAGAGCCAACTGATTTTAAATGCAGACACATTTTGATGTAAAAATGACTGTAGTCATACAGTAAGCCTATACTATACAATTCTGCAGTGTTGGTATCCTTTATGCAAGGTTTTCATTTATGCATTGTTGTTTTTCTCAGTGCTCAAGGTCCTCTCGTATATATGCACTTAAGTTTCTGAGTGTGGGATAATAATATGCAGTAAAACATAGCTTCCCAGGCACTAGCAGATGCAGTGGCACCATTAAGCTTCACTGAAACACTGGTTCAATAGCAGTAACACACATGGGTTTATATCATTCTCAGCAAAGACGCAGAGGCTGAATTCAATTAGCATTAATACCAGGTAATGAGGTTTTGTTCAGGAAGGGTCCCTGTGGAAGGTTTGTTTATTTAGTTCTTCAGGAGGCTTCATCCAGAAGAACTGAAGGCTAGTTTGCGGAGTGGGCTAGACGAAAAGAGATGTAACCAGTACATTCAGATTAACATGTCCTTGTTTCAGGTTATCATCATGAAAAGAACAGTACTATATAATTTATCCACAGGGAGTACGATAAATTACCAAAATTATTACCAATTCAAGAATGAATCTCAGGGTATGAGTTAATAATTGCTCATCTGCAGTCATAAAATTGTAATTGTTCTGAAGTGTGTTTAATAACCTGCTTTGATATGTACTGTAAACATTCTGTAACGCACTGTAAAACATGTTCTGTAAACTCACCAGTGCTGATCAGGGATCTCCTTCAATATGCCCACTCCATAATCAGAATGGTCTTTGACTGAATATTTTTCACACCAGTATTTTTTTAGGAGTAACAGGACCATGATCTGAACTTCAGCTGACCTGAGTATTTACAAACTGAGCCACAGGCTTACACAGGCACCACACACAAACACAAAAACACCGCTGCGCTCGTGTCATTTCCGCCACACTGTCTGTTCACCTCTGGTGGTGGACCGTTAGCTCGATTCCTTTGTTCTAGCATTGACCAGGGCCAGGCGCAGTCCAAACCGGCCTTTCACATGCGGAACAGGATGAAGAGTTAGTTGGCCTGCAGTAGTCAGGAGTGGTGAGGCTGTGTCTGTTCCTCTCCCCAGACGAGAGAGGTCGAAGGTGCCGTACATTGTGAGGCAGTGCGTGGAGGAGATTGAGAGGCGAGGCATGGAGGAAGTGGGCATCTACAGGGTGTCGGGGGTGGCCACGGACATTCAGGCCTTAAAAGCAGCTTTTGATGCCAGTAAGTAGCGTCTTCTTTTTCCTGGGCTCCATGACTCTGCAGAAGATTGTCCAGTGCTGCATGAGGCATCCCATCCGCAGCAATATTACTCTGCAACTCACAACTGGCAAACCGCTGAAGCTCAGCAGGTGTGAGCCTGGTCAGTACCTGGATGGGAGACCTCCTGGGAAAAACTAAGGTTGCTTCTGGTAGTGGTGTTAGTATAGTGACAGGGACACTACACTGTAAAAAGGTGTCGGCCTTTGGATGAGACGTCAAACCGAGGTCCTAACTCTGTGGCTCGAAAAGAGAAACATGAACTTCATGTTGTACATGAACTTCAGACTCAGATGATGTATCTTCTATGTTCTCCTTAGTTCCGTTTTGACATTTTGTCCTAATTAATACATATCCCTCAAGCAGCGTGCTTTTTGTTACATGTTGTGCAAAACAGTTGTGTGGTGAAGCACCGCACAACGCCTGTCTCTGGAGTTAACATTAAAGGAATCAAGGGGAGAAAAGCATGGTTCTGGTGGAAAGAATGACAGATTCCTGTGTTATGAATCTCAGAAAAGGCTGTAACTCCCTGCTTACTCATTAGCTATTAGTACTTTATTTTTCTTAAAAGGTCACCTTCATTGAGATGGCTCAATGCGCAATTAAGTGGCTCCGATTAAAAAAAAAAATGGAATTGTCTGTTCTGTGTTAAAAACTCACCCAATCTGTAGCTCCTGCCTCACCACATTGTCACATTGTCATTAGCACATCAGCGGTTCAGTGCTGATTGGAGGACAGGACTGTAGAGATTGCTGCACTGTGGGTCTCAGCCCTCCCTCCCTGTGTGTGCGCAGACAACAAGGACGTGTCCGTCATGATGAGCGAGATGGATGTGAACGCCATCGCAGGCACCCTGAAGCTGTATTTCCGGGAGCTCCCTGAGCCTCTCTTCACTGACGAGCTCTATCCCAACTTCGCTGGAGGGATCGGTGAGTCCCTGCGGCCTGCCTGTGCATTTCTCCCGCAGCGGGTCATCGAAGGCAACAGACAAACTCGGGGTTAGCCAGAGACACCTGACTGGTTCAGTGTTGGTGGATCAGATTTAAGCCACAGTGGCTCACTGGACCACAACGTATTCTTGTTTCCGCGGCATAACTGAAATAATAACGCTCCCTCTGGAATGGGACGGCAGTCCATCACAGAGCCTACCCCCAGGATATGCTGCTGGGTGACTGGAGCAGCTGGGGTAAAGCACCTCACTCAGGCTACAGCAGCAGTATCCGCAGTAGGGGACTTGAACCTGCAACCCTCCAGTCATGAGCCAAGAGGCTTATCCACTATGCCACCCAGCTCCCACCAACAGCTAAGACTTATATATACAGTAAGACCATCTAGATATAATGTGATATTTTGAGTTTGAGCCTTTTATTGGAAATTTTGTCTTTGCCAATGCTGTTGTGCATACAGACAGGAACCAATGTTGTACCCACAGAATCTAGGAAAAACTTGAAATTGTTTATTTTAATTTGAGATATTTAGATAGTATATTTCATCCATCTCTGCTGCCTGCCTCAGTCTGTATATCAATCATATGTATTTAATCATTGTTTTTCGTAGTAGATAATATTCACTGTAGTGTATGTTTTAAGCTTTAACAATTACATATTTGATTAAGCTTGTGTAAAATATTAAATATACAGTTATAGGCAATTAACTCTTAGAAGAAAAGCAAAGTAACAGACAAGAAGAGGCCATTCAGCCCATGTAGTTCATTTGGTAGTTAATACAGTAACTGATCCAAGGATCTCGTCCAGCTGTCTTTCCTGTTTTCACACTTTTCAACTTGATTCAGTGATACAGCATTTTTTAAAGTGGTCAGCATTAAAATGTTCACTTCTTTGTTTTTGTGCCTTTAAAGAGTTTTAATGATGATTATTAAGACTTTTGCATAAGTGATAAATATCAGGAGTACTTTTCCGATTTTTGGGATTTCCACTTACTGTAGGACCGGAAAATCAAGCTGATGGTCACATCTCTGCTCGGGACCCCGTCTCACTCTGTCCTTCCTCTCCTCCAGCCCTGTCTGACAGCGTGGCCAAGGAGAGCTGCATGCTAAACCTGCTCTTGTCATTACCAGAGCCAAACCTCGTCACTTTCCTCTTCTTACTGGACCACTTGAAGAGGTAAAGTGCTCCTGCTGAATCTTCATGTCACGCGTTCTTAAATCTGTTCAGAAATGTTCTTAAAATCTGTTCAAATCTGCTAAATGCACGAGCTGTGCTTCAGTCTTGGCATTGTTCTCTGTGTGCATTGCCATGAAACAGTTTGTAGAGTCATGATAATCCATTAATAAGGTGTCATCACAGAGGGTAGATCTTAAACTACAGATGTCGCAACTCTTTAGAAACAGGCCTTCCCCAAATCAGCGATGGAGATACCTGCTGAAGAGTGCATTGCAAAATACTGTATAATGCTAGGAGTCTAAAATTACTATGCACAATTTCTTAAAGTGCTACATTCGTCGATAAGGCTGGGGCAATGTACATCCAGAACATCACGATTTGAATTTCTGACATTCGTAGCCTTTCTCTTCCTCCCCTTCAGAGTGGCTGAAAAGGAAGGCATCAATAAGATGTCTCTCCACAATCTGGCCACAGTCTTTGGACCTACCTTGCTCCGCCCCTCTGAGAAGGACAGCAAGATTCCAGCCAATCCCACGCAGCCAATTACTATGAGTGACAGCTGGTCACTGGAGGTCATGTCACAGGTACAGTACCTGTGCTTTTTTTCTGCTTATATTTTTTCCACAGTGATTCACAGCAAAAACCTTTTTCAGTGAAAGCTACAGTGAAATGTGAGACACCTGCCTGTAGGTCATGTTAGGTTTCTAGAGTGAACTATTGACGTCTGAGCAAAAGTGCTCGACCTGTTGCTGGTTGGGCGCTGTCAGTCCACTTTGTTCTACAGATTTGCCAGATGCTGTTCAGCCAGTTATCTTAATCCTTTGTTACCAGGTCACTTTCCAGAAGAACCTACGGTTAACTCAAGAACTGCTCTGTACACATTTGTAGGGTGGCAAGTACTCACAGTTCAGGTCAGCAAAGGTCTGAAAAGAGTTTTAGTCCTTGTATACGGAAAAAGGCCATTTCCGGAGAGCAAACGGAAACACACTGAAGTAATGTAATGCTCTGCATTAAATCATTCTTGAAGAGTTTGTAAAATCTATGTACAGTCTTGGTCAGTCTCTTACGTTACCATACTTTTTTGTGTTTATGAGAGAGACTGTTACATATGTAATAGAACCCACGTAAAGATGACCTTTGTTAATACGTACTGTAGTACAATGGCTGCTTGACAATGTTTACTCCCGCCTTCCAATTGCTCTGAAATGTCACATGCTCTCTCCACACAACAGGTGTCTCTCTTCCTCAGCGCAAACGGAGCACACAAATCAAACCATATTTTTGGGTACCTATTTTCTGAGGGGCAGATTGCACGAATGGTACAGGTGTTCCGATGCACTGTATTCACCCGGAGTGATTTTCTCTTATTCTCTCTCTCGTTCTGTGAACAGGTCCAGGTTTTACTGTATTTCCTTCAGTTGGAAACTATCCCCACGCCCGACAGCAAACGGCAGAGCATCCTCTTTTCAACTGAGGTGTAGCCCAGCTCTCCGAATCCCACTTCCCTGTGTGTGACCTCCAGCCGTCTGAAACTTTCACAAGACAGAAAAGAGGACACTTGTGTGAGATTTCTATGGCTGTCAGGCCAGTGCGGTCTGCGGCTGACTGTGCAAGGTGAAGAAATTTAAGGACCTGACGTCTGTGTGTCACATAACCACCAGAGGGAGCTAGTGACACAGGAACGAGATGAGAAGTTTGACACAGCATTGCTTTGAGTGTGCGTCATTTTACTGATCCCTCAGTTCATGTCTTGTCTGACACCAGTACATTTAGAAAATCAATACTTAGGAAACTTTTTCTTTCATTTCAGACGTCTACACCTCTATCGGACATAGATCTGAGTTCACGTCTTGAAGTGTAGACAGACTAAACATGTACATTTAATTTTGAAATCGGAAATGGCAGTAGGAGAATACGAGCATCACTGTGCTTTTCAGAGCTGTTGCACACTTATAAACTGTCCACCAGTGCTCATATTATGATGTTTTCTTTGAGTAGTTTTGATCACTCACTTTTCTTGCTTCGGTAGCTGTGTCTGTATGTTATATATTCATTCTTCTGTTAGAGGACAGATTATTCAGTCATGAGTGTTCACGCTTGGCCTTTTTTTTCTAGTGAACTACCTTTCACTAGAAATGCCGGTGAAGGAGTGAAAAGGCTTTAGAGCCGAACCTGAGAGTCCAGACAGTGCAGCTTTGTGAACATGGTCTTGGATACGTGATTGGTGGAGTGTTCTTAAAGTGCTGGAGCTACTGCTTTACTTGGGAGGTCACTGTTGAAGCTTGCTTATAATTACACTTTGTGTCCCATTCAAGCAGACAAAAAGTCCCAAATGGTTAACGAAGTGAGAGACTTAAAGCCTACATGTACATCTGTGGAGTGATATACAGTATAAAGCTGAAATATCACTCAGAGTGAGAGTTCTGTCAGAGCTTCTCTCTGAAAGACAGACCCGTATGGGACTCCTAGCCAACAAACAGGAGCTACAATCAGAAGTTTACATGCTGTTGTGTTTGCTAGAGAATGAGTAACGCAGGGCCTGTGAGGACTTTAGCTCTGTGCTGAAGTGCTGCATTTATTTCCTTTGCAAAGCAAGGCTTACTGTGAAAGAAGCATCCTAGTGTACCGTTGCTTTGTAGTTAATGACAGGTGTTTAATGTGTCTGTACCATTTAGGTGTCCTTTTCTTAATTTAATGAAGTAACTTATGTTAAAATAAATTATTTCACTGTGCTAGGTGACTGACAGGGAAAAAAATCAGGTGAAAGTTTGGTGTTATGTTTTCAGATTTCTATTATCATTATCTTATTATTTCAGCTTCTCCAATATTTGCCCCATGATATTGACAGCTTATTATTAGATTTCATTAGAAGCACAGCTTTTAAACACACATATGTATATAATTTGAAACCCGTGCTTATTCGATTTATTTAAACACTGCATTACCTTCATTACTGCCGTTTAGGAAACAGAGGTGAAAGTATGTAATTGTCTCTTATTCATAAAGTAAAAAATTAATTATCCCACATGGGGCTCTTATTTTATTTGGTACAAACACATGGATAATAATGCACAACTAGTAAGAATATTGTTTATAAGGTTAATTACATCATTTATCATTTAAAAAAGAATAATACAGATGACTCTTCTGACTAAATGTGATTTTTAAATTGATGAAAAATAATCTTCTAAATGTGACTTTTCACAAAATCTGCTCCCTGTATTTAGGAAAATCCCAGGACAGATCACTAGAGATTAGAAAGTTAACTCCTTGCTTAGCCAAAATAATATTTTGTGAAACTCTTGGAATGAGTATCCCAAGTGACAGGTGCATTAGCATCGCCAGTTGTATTAGACCAGTGGGGATAAGAGGCAGTGTTGGATGCCTGCGTCCTGCTATTCGGAACTTGTCAGTTTTTTAAATTGAATAAATAATTACACACATTTACTCTACAGTATGTTTCCAAATCTGGTCCCTGTGGCAAATCTGTTTAAAAAAATTCCCGGGACAGATCACTACTTCACTGGAGATTAGAAGGTTAACCCCTTGCTTGGCCAAAATAATATTTTGTGAAACTCTTAAGCTTATCAGGCACAGCGTTGCCCGTGATTTACTGTAGTGTTTTTCCTATGCAATACAATCCGTAGTTGAATTAGGCGATGACTTTGTGCCATACTCTGCGATCTGAGGCCTCATGTTTTACCATCTCCGTGATCATAGAAAATAATTCCTGGCCACACACCTTCAGGGTATAAAAACGAATTTCTTTAAAAATGATGTAAGTAATTGAAGCCATCTGCCAAGCCAGATTGTTTCTATGATGTGAACTGCTTTGACAAGTAAGAACTTTTTAGCAATATTATCAATATGTGAGAAGAAAGTACAATATTCAATCTACATAATTTCACCTTAAGAGAGGTTTTTTGGCTGCTTTCATTACAAGGATGCTTGTTATTTTCTTGCTGCCTTTTTCTGTTTCTCACAGCTCCGAGTATCTGTAATGTTTTTTTTTGGAGGAGCAGTCTGCTACACTCAATAGCAATATCTTAAATGTGCCAATTTGCTTCCCCATGCTTGGTTCAAATGACGTTCTAGAAAATTTCAGATTACGGGCCGTGTCGTCAAGAAGAAAAACAAGAAACGTTCTCTTAATTATTTTGTTACTAATTAAAACATGTGAAGATGTCAATATTACAAGGATAATACCTGTAGTAATTATTTAACATGCAGGCATGTTGATTTAAATTGTTTTTTTTTATTGCCTTTTCCTGATTTAGTTTTTCTTGTGGTTACATAACCCATCAATAATTTCTGATTTATGCTTTGTTACCCAAAGCTGGATATTTTGGGCAGGACATATGAGTTAAATAATGTTAAGTCATATTTGTAAATGTGGACAAAAACTGGCAACCCTAGATACTGTCCTGTTGGTAATGGTGTGAGATCCCTGGTGACGTGCAGTGAAGTTGTACCAATAGACAATTCTGCCTTTTTTCCCTCTGTATGCCTATTCTTCAAACACCAGCTCACCACCTACGGAGGGCTTGTCCTGTATGCGTCCTAGTTAATAGGGAATAGGGGCAGCCTGTCACCATCATCTCTTTTGGAAATGAAACGTTTTGAGTGCTACTGAAGGGATAGAACACCATCTATTGAATTACTGCTTAGGAATCTAAACATTGAAGGAAATGTGTAATGCAAATATTTATTCTCCATGTGACAAGGAAGGACAGATCAGACATGATCTTGGAACTTTTTATATTACTGTACCTCGAAGGCTTTGGTTTAAAATATACTTACATGACATATTGGCCTAATAACTTCTCTTCTCTATACTTTGCTCCTTCAAGAGTACAGATCGCCTAGTATACCTCTAATTGCTTTCTTTTTGGAAGTCAGTGGCTTGAACAATGTTCAGATTATCATTTAATTTATTTTTAGTTTTCCTTTAGCCTGTTCATCAGTGTTCTAGTACTGAAGATTAACGCCTGCAATTTAGGTTGCTAATTAAACTCATTCGTGTAACTGATTTTTATTTTTACAGAGAGGGGTATTAGCTGAAATTGAGTAATATCATGCCTACTGTGCTATGCATTCCCCCCTAGCTTCAGTGCACAATGGCTGGGTAAGGTGGGATCACTTGGCCTGGGCTCTCGGGTCTCAGCTACACATTGACCCCTCTGGCCTCCCAGGCCCTTACAGGCATGTGGTGCTGCTGGTGAGGGACGCGCCTCTCCTCCAATTAGAGGCTGAGCAGGGTGGCTCGAGGGCTGGGGGGGAGGAGTCTGCCTACACTTCCTCTTCCTCCTCTCACCACGGACTTGAGGTTCATAGCTGTGAGCTGAGATGTTTAAAACACCAAAAATCCAAATCCAAAAGCGGTGGGATTGTATTTCAAGTTACAAAAAAGAAATTGAGTAATCTGAGATCCTGCCACCACCTGCCATCACCAAGAACAGCAAAAGTGTGCTTCGTCACATTGTTAATTGTTGCAAAGGCCCTGACAGGTAGCATTTATGGCACTCCTTCATGCCTCTGATGCAATTCTTCTAAAAGTTCAAATGAGCTGTTTAAATGCTTCTTAATAAACAGATGAACGTGAAAAAAAAAACTATGCAGGAAATGGAAAGGACTGCCAATAAAGACATGGCATGACTATTTGAAATTTCTATTCTATCATATTTCATTGGAGATTATTCAGTTCTGTGCTCCACTCTGCTTTTATACAGTACAGTCTAGCTTTCAGTATTTAGAATGATTTTTAACAACAACCAACCATCAGGCGCAGCTGAACTGCTGTTAGAGAATTGCTTCAGTGGTACACTGTGAAGTCAGTCCTTCAGTTTCAGCCACCTCTGTAGAAATAAAAACCAAATGTTCACCCTCATTTTTACTCCTTTGTTCAGTCGAAATCCGTTAGAATCCGTTTTGCCTCTGCATTTCACTGGCAAACCTTTATAGTATTAGAAAAATAGAATTTTTTTGTCATTCCAGCTACCTAAAGAGGGCAAGATACACAGTCTTCTCAGATCTAGAGAGACATGCAAATCTTTGAAGCATCTTAGAATTACTTTACTACCGCAAAAGATTTTGAAAGCCCAAGCTGATTAAAAAAAACAATTGTGGTGGCCTGGAGAATAAAATGAAAAACCTTTGAGATTCATTTAGGTTTGTGGGCACATACATCGTCCAGTATTCAGGGTTATGGGTTAATTTATTGAGATGCTAATCAAATTAATAATATTAAAATATAATGTGTTGGAGAAAAAAAACGACTTTGATTGATTGTCAGATAAATGCAAATCTGTGTTTTTGCTTTCTGTGTTAAGGATGCTCTTGTAGTCAGTGGCCCAGGTCCTACTGTTATCTTCATGTAAATGGTTATTTCAGACGTTTCATACTTTATGTTAAAGCTCTGCTATCTGAAGAGATGGGACATACCGGCCAGCTAAGGAGATAAAAGATTAGCTTAATTTTTTATTTCCTTTTTTTGTTAATCTTGTGTTCTAATCAAGTAGCTGTAAAAAGGGATACTGTATTCAGAAGACAAAAAAAAAGTTCTGAAGGCATTTGTAGCCACTGTTTGTACACAAAATGTTAAATAAAAACTCCTGTATCTATGTAACTCTGACACTGGGTCTCTTTCATTCATCTGACCACTTTTTTCACCAAAACCCTTCCCTGCTGCTCCAGCTCTCCAGCTCAAAACAAGAGAATGGGAAGCTGGAAGAGTGACAAACCGAACAGGAGCCCTAGGCCAAGTTCAGTTTCAAATTTCCATTTCATGGAAAAAATGCGTTCTTTGGTTTATTGACAAAGCTGCTGCCAGTCCGCAAGAAACATTATCCACAGATGAACACAACAAGAAAATTCATAATATGGCTCAGGCCATCAAAGTAGCATTTTGAATTGAATTCTCAAAGTATTGCGCGTTCTTAAAAAATGTGAGAGGATTTAACTGGAAATCCTACTAGCAAGGTGTACGTGTTTGTCTGAATGCCTGAATTAATTTTACTCTGAGGAATAGAACATCTGGACATGAGGGATAATCTCAAAATTTTGGGTTGTCATGGTGCCACAGTGATTAGTACTGCCGCCCCACAACACTTGGGCTCCTGGTTCAATTCCAGACCGGGAGTGCTATTTGTGTGGAGCTTGTATGTTCTGTGTTCGCAGTTAGAAGATGGATGGATGTTTGATTTTTCAGAAATCCATTTTCTTGTGAATTAGATGGGTCCAACAGTGTTAAAGTGAGTTGAAAGCTCCATAATTCACCAATGAGACCCCACTTTACACGTGCGTGTATTGATTGTAGTTTACAAAAGTTTGTGCGCAAGAGGCTTGATGGCGCAGGATGATGACAACTGCACATGTCTTTTAAAACTTTTTAAGGTAAGAGTGCTTTTAAGGAGTTACAGCTTACATCTGTGTTCATCATAATCAGAGAGGTATGTTGTTAGAAAAGAGCCTTTCCACATCGTAAAGTCAAATCTTAACAGGACAGCTACAGATCAAAGCTAAATAACTCCTGCTGCGTTTTCTTCAAAGTATTCAGTTTGAGACATCCCTCATACAGTTTTTTTTTTCCCACAGCTATCAGTTTAGAGATCAATCCAATCCCACCCCATGTTTACTGTATGTTCTCGAGCCCCCAGAGTGCATCAGTACAGTTCCACATACAATAAAAACTAACTTTTACGTGTTTTAACTTTTAAAGCTAGACATACAGTACTGCAGGGTAATGAAAATCTTCTGTAGGATTTGAAAATCGTAAGTCGAATAGACCTCTTGAACGGTGATATTTTGGAAGACAACTTTTATTATCTGGGATTCAGAATTGTCAAAATCGGTTCTACTGTATATACTGTGCTCCTCGTTTCTTGCACTGAATTCCTTTTAGTGATTTTGGCAGCACCTGTGACCTGCAAACCGATGCTGTAAACCCGAGTGCTCACAGTTCTTCCTTAAGGGTTTCTGCGTCTTTGCATCCAATGAGCTCCGCAAACAGAGATTCAAATGGAAGTAGAAAATTATATAAATAAAAGTGCAATGGCAGGGATCTCCAGGCGGAAGCAGTGAGATCGGGATCGTCCTTCAGCGTGGGATTCGCAGAAGTCGGCTCTTTTTTTTTTCCACATTGGCGAACGCGTCCGTACAGCGAAGTTGTACAGCTGGGAACACAAAGGATGTTGGAAGGAAACCTGCCCAGCTCCTATTCAGTCAATATCCCACAGTTCCAAGCGATCCTAGCGGATCCCAGGGCGAGAGGACGCTCTAGCGACGAGGAGTGTTCTCTCTCGCTGTCAAGGCAGTCCTGTCCTGTGGGCTCAGGGCTGGGGTCGGGGCTGTCGTCTTTAGGGCGAAGTAACTACTGGATACCCACTCAGCAGTCACGGATTGACGTCTCCAGCGGGGAACCGACGGGGGAATCCTAACACGGGACTCCTCCATCAGCGTGCGACCCATTTTCGTACGGGGAAGAGAAGCAAGTCCTAAGGTAAGACGGCGGAGGAGGAACACGCATCGAGGTGGTTTTAAATAGATTCCTCTGGCTGCGCACGGTTCACGGAGAGGCTCTTGGATGGGTTTGGTTGTGGTCTCACATGCGCTTGTGTGTTACATATTGCTGGTGCGCTGACGAAGACGGATGCTTTCGTCGTCGTCGTCGTTGTTGTTGTTGTTTTTTACACGCTACGCGCATTTGAAAGTCTGCGGTGGGGAGACTGGTGTTTTAGCTCGTTCTCCATTAGTGCAGCATGCTGGTGACCAGCTGTACCGCGTTTGTGTTATTCTGACAGGGTCGTCGTCGCTGCCGTCTGCCCAGTCCCCCCTGTCCGGCGACTCGTGACCGACGGCTGCTTGCACTGCTAGCAGATTATGAACACTGCTTTGCCATAAGCGAAACAGTGTTGGGGTGTGATGGCTTTGTTGGTCAATGTGTTCCCGATTCATAATGATGCAATTCGTTGTTTTCCGCTCTCGCAGGAGGGGAGGGGAGGGGGGTCTTTTAGTTTTAGCACGGGCGTTGCTGTGCCTTTACTCGCTGAACTGAGGTTCACTTCGTTTGTGGTAATTACAGTGCTTGAGACCAGAAATGACTTTCTTTTTTTTTTCCCCAGTTAAGTGTTGGGCATTGTGAATGCTTACACAGACAATCCGCGGGCAATGCAATATTCGACTTGTAATGCCTATAGCACACGCACCTCTAAGTTAGGCATAAAACAAAGACCAAGAATTTTAAGATTTACACGATTTTTATGCTAATAACCTATAATACGCAAAGTACTTTTACTAGTGCTACCGCGGTCTGATTTATGGATTTGCCTCACTATAGCTGAAGCAAATTAGGTTGCGTCACTGACTGCTCATTAATCAACCCCAAATTTAAGGATGACAATGACAAGAGGCCATTCTTATTCAGGCAGTTAGAAGCTAATTGAGCCTTGGGTCTCATCCAGCCTTTTACTGAAAGACATGTTTTGGACTCTCACAACACTTTGTGTAAAGAATCTCCTCTAATTCGCAGTTTTCAGATGCACTTCACAGTAGTTTCTAATTGTGGCCTCAGGTTTGTGTTTCTGCTTTTTTTCAGTCTGTGCCTATGACTGCTAACATCCTCCCAAAATATTAGTTATTAATGCAGATAATCTCTGAAATCTATTACAGCTGTGCGTATGTAATTCATATGTAGGCTTTGATTCATTTTCTCACACAACGGTTAGCCCATTAGGCTTGAATGTCTTTTAAATTTTTGTTCACAGTAACTGATATAAATATTGGCACCATTCATTTGACATAAAAAGTTGTTCATAGATAATAACTGATAATAAATGCTATCTGTTTATTGGTGGTTAGTATTGGTGGCCCTCGGTTCAGCTCTGCACGTGGGATATTTTGTATGTGTTCTCCCTGTGTTTGTGTGGGTTTCCTCCGAGTGCTCCCGTTTCCTCCCGCAGTCCAAAGACTTGCTGGTAGGTCAATTGGCGTCTGGGAAAAATTGCCCTGGTGTGAGAGTGTGTGTCTTTGTGTGCCCTGAGATGGCCTTGCATCCAGTCCAGGGTGTATCCCTCCTAGTGCCTGTTACTTTCTGAGATGAGCTCCAGTTCCCCCGCAGCCCTGATTTGGATGAAGCTGTTAGAAAATGGATGTATTTTACGCAGTGCTTAATTAATGATGGGACCTCTTCAAAAGTAATTGCATGCGCAAAAAGTCAGATTTAAGAAATAAGTACTAACACCGTTTTAGTTTATGCACTGCTACAAGCAATCTTAATGAGCACTTTCAAGGATGAGTGAGTGTTGAATTAATATCAAACATATATTGGTAATGAAGTATGGTTATAACAATATTTCATACACTTAATTAATTAGTGAATACCATTGTAAATTCTGTGTGACTGTACAAGGGAATCTGAAAACAATTTTCAAATTAATTCTTTTCTTTAGGGTTTGTAATCATTTTTGATCAAGGTCAAAATGCTTTTTCTGTAATGTGGAGGATTTATTTTCATTCTTTTCTCTCGCTGTTCCCTATTTTGATGGTCTGTTTGGGGTTTTTTATTGGATGGTTGCTTGTGAAGCTTATGCCAGTTGGAATCTGAAAAGGCGCACGCGCTACTGGTGGGGATCGCTTGTTTTATCTGAGCTTTATCTGTGCAGCGACAGTGAGTTGGCAGAGGCCTGCATGGAACAGGGTCAACCTCAGTGGCTCAGTGGCTGAGAGGCTGGGAAGGTTTGGAGGTACTTTCTCTCCACTCTAACATTTTCCCTATCCGCTACACTCATTGCTCATTCCTACCACAAGCCATTCAAATCATCCTTGCTCCTGCCACAGTACCTTGGTGTCCGTTTTTTAGCGCACCACATTTTTAGCATGGGGCAGGGCTAGCGCTAGGAATGAGGCTTCATGCACAGGGCAAAAATCATCTGAGAGGGTAATCAGTGTTGGGACGAATTGCTCGTCGGGGCAGCTGTGTGTAATGGTAAAGGACCGCAGCTCTGTTGTCGAGTTTTTCCGGACCTGGCTCCGGTGGTTTTCCTCGTTTTCCTGTGTTGATTGGAGGACCCAGTCTTGCTGGTGAGCCCCGTCGGTGACCGTGTTGCGCGGTAACGCTCGAGCGCCCCCACGGAGGGGCAGGCGCTGTCTCGCTGCAGTGCCGAATCGCCAGACCTCGCTCCGCCCTGCCTTGACCGTGAGCCGTGTGGGGCGTTCACCCGGGCCTATCATTTTCAGACAGCTTCTGATTAAGCCTCTTCATTGGCTGGAAGGCGTTAACGGCCTGATTCGCCAGCAGGCTCTCCTCTCCCCGCCTCTCGGTTGTTTGCTTTTTTGTTTTGCTGTAGTTCAAGTGGTCGCAGGCGAACCGCCCCCGGCGCTTTCCATCTTAGGGTGTCACTGTCCCAGGCACGGGTGTCCTGCTGCCGTGTTTAAACCTCTCACAATCTGACGTGCTCATTTTGCCCTTGCCTTGAGAGTCTTCCCGAAACCGAGCTAATGTAAAGTACACGGAGAATAGTGCCTGCATCTTCAATGTTACACACTTGTGATGGTTAGAAGACCTTTTGGTGGTTGCTTGTGTTCCAGTTGTTTTATGTTAGAGCTGATACAGACGTATTTCTTGCCATGCACAGGGCCATCGGCATTTCCTCTGTTTTACCCTCCACTGCCTATTAAAACGTAAACCGAACTGAAATCAAATTCATTACATGGGCTGAATAGTCACCTCTGATCTGTAAACATTTGTAAATTCAGGCATGTTACAGAGCTGACAAGTTGGATCATGTTATGGAAAAAGGTTATTAATTTTATTATTAAGTTTTTAACCAACTATTTTTAGTTCTTTTACACCTACCCAAGCTGAAACAGCCCCTTGCATTTTTCTTCAGGTCTCAGCTCACAGCCACAGACCCCACTATCGCACAAAGGAGAGAATGGGGAAGTGTGGGGGGGCTCTTCTGACCCCGCCCCTCCTTCAAGCCAGTTGTCATAGGCTACACAGCCTCCCAGGGGAGCACATGCACCAATCAGAGGAGGCGCGTGTCCCTCACTGACAGCGACATGCAAAAGCACATGTGAGGCTGCAGGGGGCGCTATGATGCTGGCACCCTGGCTGACTAATCACGCTCTGTTTTCACTAACTCTTGGGCACTTGCCATTTGGGAAAACCCAGTGATAGTCAACTCTTGGCATGACCCAGGCTCAGACCAGTCATCATAGAGATCGCCATGCCATTGGTTAAGCTCCTTTACCAGTTCTGCCATTTGGAAGGCTCCAGTCAATTCATTTCCGAGGTTTTTCTTGTTTTGTAAATTGCATGGAATTAAAACTAGAGGCATTTATCGTTGCAGCCCAATCTAAAGCTTTTTTTTCCTGCATGCAGACACTTCTTGTTATTCCACTAATTAAGGCATGCTTAAAATGTGATATCTGAATACATTGGATTCCCTTCTCATTAAAATCATGACTTTGAAGCCTATGGAAACTCCAGTCATTTATCAGAATACTTCTTAGAATGTCGTGATATTTTAGTGTGGGTTATTCTCCATTTTAAATCCTCATTTCCCCACATATCCAGATATATCTGTATATATACAGATATATTAGATATATTAGGTGACGCTGCAGTCCAGGGTCGTATGCTTTGTGGGACTGAGAGTTTTTTTGTGGGGATGAAGTCTCTCTTGCCAACACCCAGAGAAAATCTCTGCCTGTTGAAGAACATTCCTGGCTAAAAAAATTTCTCGGAATGTGACCCCTTTAAAAGCAGTACTTTATCGTCCAAGGAATACGCATTCCTGGGTTTAAGGGGAGGCTTCCGGAGAGAGGAAAGTGTTCTGGCTAATGGAATTTATTGTGGAAAGAAAGTGAAGGGGAACATTGTCTTGTGAAAGTTACCGGCGCGTCCCTGCGAGCCGAACAGATGGATGCTGCTGGCGCTTGAGCACGTCTCGTTTATTTTGTTTAGCGCTCTGCTGGGCGGGACTGGGAGCCATTAGAGAGCCCTTCAGGGGGCCGATGTAAAAAGGTGAGCGTTGTCCAAACTGTAGCCACCTCGTGTGGCCTGTCACAGTGTATCAGCTGTATAGCTGTGTAGTAGATGTTTCAGGCTAAAGAGGCAGGAGGTACAGAATTCAAGGCGTGAGGCTGACCTCGACAGGGGTCGGAGTGTGATGTTGTGGTACGTTTAATGTGCCTGATGGCAGAGTGCTTTTGTCATCTGACAAGAAACAACCGTACTCGCAGTGATTTAACCCTGAAAGCAGGTTATTTTCAACTTCTCCCTTCATCCTGTTTCCTAACCACAGCACAAAGAAGGCACACTCGACGGTTCCACATGTTTTAAGCTCCCACTTGAGAGAAGCACAAGTGATCTTTTTTTAGCCTGGGTGTTAATAACCCAGGAATTTGGAGTCCTTGGAGGATATTTTGCCATTTTGAATCGTGGAGATCATATGCTGCAATGAACGACATCCGCATCAGCTGGGAAGGCAGTTAAGA